TTTCCATCTTTCCTTGGCTTCTTTATGCACATTAATAGAAATTTTTAGCTGGGGTGCCCAAACTTTCGATCCCCACTGTATATATATATATATATATGTATATGTGTATATATGTATATGTGTGTGTGTATATATGTATATGTGTGTGTGTGTATATGTGTATATGTGTATATATATATATATATATATATACATATATATATATATATATACATATATACACACACACACACACACACACGCTAGGATGCAGCAGCCAATACATACATGCTGTGCTTTTTGGTTGAAAGTGTAGTATAGCTATTATGCTGTACTGCCCTCACTACCTTATGGGTGGCATATCTGATCGTTCTTAGAGTGCAAATTTCTCCATTTGATAATAAATCTTCTATTGGCAACAATGAGTATCAAATAGTAAATTGCAGCCAAGAATAGAAAATGTTGATTGATTTTGTAGGCCTGTTTTATTTTATTTAAAACATGAGTATAAGATATATGTGGAATATTTATGGTGTTTGAATACTGGCTTGGACAAGCATGTATGTACAAAACTGCCGCCATTCTTTATGTACACTTTATTCACACTCTGAATGCAGATTATCACTGGCTGCTGAGATCTCAATATGTTGGGCTGTGGAGAAGAGCCATGCCACAGAATCATATTGTTGTCCACCATTTTTAATATATATATATATATATATATATATATATTTATTTATTTATTTATTTATTATTTGTATGTATGTAGCTCGGGAAGGGGTTTTTCCCTGTACAGAGCGCAGTTCCAGGCTGAGAGGCGAGCAGGTTCCCAGAGATGGCGGCATGAGGGTTTTGCTCTCACGGAGGCTGGCAGCTCGGTAACACTGGCTGAATGAGTGAAATGGGCTTAGTGCAGATTGAAAGGAGTTTAAGCCTCCTCCCCACTGAGAGGCTGAGAGGGGCTCTGGGCCCAGCAGGACTCCAGGACCATTCACACGCCCTTTCGCTGCTCCCCCCACAAGCAGGGGACAGCGAGCAGTCTGCGCAGAGTTGCCTGTTGCTACGGATCGGCAGAGAAATGGCAGTCTGGTCACAATCGGGGGTCCCAGGGACGTCCATCATTATGTCACTAATACACTGTGACACCAGAACACAAAAGGGGATTGAGCGTCCCAGCAGGTAACTGGCCGCACTGGGAAGAGGAGGGAGATCTTTTTAATAAGGGGATTAATCCCTTTACTGCGTGATGCATAGATCTACACTGTAATACTCCGAATGCTCTGGTCCAGCAACACAGCTCAGTGCAGTCTGTGCTCAGGCCCTAGCAGGGCACATATTTGAGCAAGAAGATGTGCTGGGACAGTTTTTTATGTGGATATTAATGAACTTAAGAAAACTTGAAGTGATACTTTGATTCAGTTGCCAAAATTTGCTTCTCAGTAAGTAATGTGCTGGCCTTCTCTCCTGCCTGCATGCACATCCTGCCTAGTTGGGATATGACACAGTTGTGTCTCCATGTGATGCTGTGCATCCTATTCGGGAACCTTAGTGTAGGAGGGGATTTGTACAGGACCAAGGGAAGCAGATTTTGAATGTTGTAGGAGGAGGTCCATACAAAGCCTATGGGAAGGAAATTTTGGATGATGCAGGAGGGGGTCCATACAGAGCCAATGGGAAGGAAATTGCAGATGGTGCAGGAGGGAGTCATTCCAGAGCCAATGGGAAGGAAATTGCAGATGGTGCAGGAGGGGGTCCATAAAGAGTCTATGGGAAGGAAATTGAGAATGGTTCGGGAGGGGGTCCATACAGAGCCTTTGGAAAGGAAATTGTGGATGGTGCTGGAGGGGGTTCATACAGAGCCTATAGGAAGGAAATTTTGGATGGTGCAGGAGGGGGTCAATCCAGAGCCAAAGAGAAGCAGGTTTAGGATGGTGCAGGAGGGGGTTCATACAAAGCCTATAGTAATGAAATTGTAGATGGTGCAGGAGGGGGTCCATACAGGGCCTTTGAAAAGGAACTTGTGGATGGTGTGGGAGGGGATCCATACAGAGCTAATGGGAAGGAAATTGTGGATGGTGCAGAAGGGGGTCCATACAGAGCCTATGGGAAGGAAATTTTGGATGGTGCAGGAGGTTGTTAATCCAGAGCCAAAGAGAAGCAGGTTTTGGATGGTGCAAGAGGGGGTCCATACAAAGCCTATGGGAATAAAATTGTGGATTGTGCGGAAGGGTGTCCAGACAGAGCCTATGGGAAGGAAATTGTGGATGGTAAAGGAGGGGGCAATCCAGAGCCAGAGAAGAGCAGATTTTGGATGGCGCAGAAGGGTCTCCATACAGAGCCTATGGGAAGAAAATTTTGGATGGTGAAGGAGGGAGTCGGTCCAGAGCCAGAGAGAAGCAGGCTTTGGATGATGCAGGAGTTGCCCATACAAAGCCTATGGGAAGGAAATTTTGAATGGTGCAGGATGGGTTCCATACAGAGCCAATGGGAAAGAAGCTTTGGACAGTGTAGAAAGGGCGTGTGTACAGGGCTAATGAGAAAGAGATTTCGGATGTTGCAGGACAGGATATGTACAGAACCAAAAAGAAGCAGATTGGAGGTGGATGGTGCAGGAAGGGATTAGTCCAGAGTCAAGGAGAAGCAGGTTTTGGATGCTGCAGCAGAGGCTTCTGTACAGAACACAGCATTTTATGGAAGCTCCCTAACAGGAGGGCCTAGTGCAGTAGATTGCTTATGTCTGCAGAAAATGGGAAGTTTACCAACATTAGATTGAATTGTAATGACCAGTCAGGTACTAAAAAAGGGAACTATAGAAGTACTGAGGGATTTAATAAATCGTATTTTCAGTGAAGTCACACCACAAACAGAACCTTTTATCTTTGCTGTATATAGGGAGGATACACCCAATCAAAGTATTTATTGCTATCCGTGTCCCCATTGTACAGATCCCAACACTCTCCAGAGAGGCTATATATGGTGATTTCAGCAGCTGTCCATTTTTACAATAATGTCCTGCTTTTTCATTGTGTCTCTGATCTAATAGTGCTGTACCGGCAATATAAATATGGTGGTATCAAAGCATGGTGTAACAGAGTGTGCCTTCTATTTGTCTTTTAAAGCCACGCGGGAGTCGGCCTTTGTTCACGCCATTGCTTCAGCTGGAGTGGCCTTTGCTGTGACCCGGTCCTGTGCAGAGGGCAGCTCCACCATCTGTGGCTGTGACTCCCACCACAAAGGCTCATCAGGGGACGGCTGGAAGTGGGGCGGCTGCAGTGAAGACGCAGACTTTGGGGTCCTGGTGTCCCGAGAATTTGCTGATGCCAGGGAGAACAGACCAGATGCCAGATCGGCCATGAATAGGCACAATAATGAGGCGGGAAGGGCGGTAAGAGAAACTCACCGTTTATAAAAAAAAAATCTGGGTATTGTGGGGGACACAGCTAATAATAAATAGCAGCAGATCTAATGTACAGGTTGTCTCTGCATAAACGATCAATGAAAAGTAACCTGTTCTAAATGCATTAAAGTGTACAGTGCATATCTGCAATACATGCACATGCTGAAACATACCTGTCAGTCCACCAAAAATCCACTGAGCTTTTCAGCTTGAACTGCCCTGTCCTGTGTGCTGCAAAAGGCTGACACACATATGGCATTTATTTCACTTGCTGTACGTATGCCTGTACACTTATGACATTTTACAATTGTGCCAAGAAAGCAGATATGTTGTACACCTTTTTATATATGTCAATGCCCCCCCTGTACTACTCCACCTAAAGGTTAGTGGAGTAAAGCTACTTATACCTGTATACTTACCATGTTAAAATGGTTATAAAGGTTCAGTTTAAAAAAAAACCCAAACAAACATGTTATACTTGCCTGCTCTGTGTAATAGTTTTGCACAGAGCAGCCCCGATCCTCCTCTTTTCGGGTCCCCTGTTGGTGCTTCCTTCTGGGGTCTCCCCCCTGCTGAGTGCCATCAGAGCAAGCCATTTGCTCTGAGGCATTTGTGTGCTCACTCCTGACCTGCCTCTGTGTGTCTCATAGACAGCTCTGCCCCCGCTCCCTTCTCACTGGCTGTGATTGATAACAGCAGGAGCCAATGGAGCCACTGCTGTGATTCAGCCAATGAAATAAAGAGAGACCCGGGAGAGCTTTATCTCTCATGTACAATACTGGATCAGGCTGAAGTAAGTATGGGGGGGGGGGGGTCGAGCTGCACACTGAAGGTTTTTTTTTTTAACCTTCGTGCATAGAACCTTTACAACCACTTTAAGTGATATTTCAAAGTGTGCCAAGCAGCCTCATGAAATGTAACATTTTAGGTGTACAGCCATAGTAGCTGACGTACTGTACAGTGCATTCATAAGGTATTCAGACCCTGTTCGCTTTTTTCAATTTTGTTATGTTGCAGCCTGATACAACAGTAGTTTAAATTCACATTTTCTCTTCACTTAGTTCCCCATAACGATAAAGTGAAAACAGAATTTTAGAAATGCTGATAACAAACACGTCGACAGCATGATGCTGCCACCACCATGCTTCACTGTTGGGATGGTATTGGGCAGGTGATGAGCGGTGCCTGGTTTCCTCCAGACATAAAATTTAGAATTGAGGCCAAAACAGTTCAACCTTGGTTTCATCAGACATGAGAATCTTGTTTCTCACTCTCTGAAAGTCTTTCAGGTGCTTTTTTTCTGTTTCAATATCTTTATTGTGGTTCAGCAAAAAAGGAACAGGGTAAGACATGCTCACAAGTTGCCCATACGGGACTAGATATATGAGTTGGGTTACAGAGACCAATGCAGAAATACATACATGATACCAGTCACTAGGTACTTTGAGCCATAGGGCTGGTAAATAGTAACAACCAACAGAAAGCAACCGTGACCCCAAGCCAGGGTCATCATGGCATAAAGGGGGTCGCGCCTAAGGGAGTTACCCCCAACAAACCAGCAAAAATTTGTAGGACATAAATAGAAAAGAACAGGAAAGAGAAAGAAGGGGGGAAGTAGGAGAGGTTGAGGGATCAGGAAAGAAAAGTGAGAAAGAGGAATGACTCCTCGGACTCGAAGGTGCGCTGCAGGTAGCAATCAAAGGTGGCCAAAAAAGGCCGGGTGTAGCATGGGGAATGCACAAGGTATCCAAGGCTCCCAGACTTTAAGAAACTTGGGGTGTGAATCATTCAGAATGCTAGACATTTGCTCATCAGAGTTGTCATCTGTGTCTTCACCCCCTGGAAGGCGACCCCTGTGGACTTCCAGGTCTGGGCTATGGTCCGTTTAGCTGAGATAAAAAGATAGATGGCCAACCTGTGTTGAAAGGTATATAGGCTGGGTATCAGGAAGTGTAGGAGGAACAACCTGGCATCCTCACACAACATTATATGGAATAAGGTCTGGAAAAGGCCAAACACCCTGGACCAGAACCCCACCAATCTTGGGCAGGACCACCAGGTAAGTAGTACGTCCCTCGCTGACCAAAGTTTCTAAAACATCTGTCACTGCTCTCCGGGTAGTCATGTGCAAGCCAGCTGGAACTCCGTACCACCTCAGTAGAACCTTGTATGCAGCCTCAAGGATATTTGTATTAAAGGAACATATGGCTATGGCTGTCCAAGCCTTATTCCAGTCCACAAGGTCTATGGGAGACTGGAGATCCCACTCCTAGTGGGATACATACACTTATATGCTGATAACGATCGTCGTTCAGGGATGCATAGATAGCTGAAATGAGACCAGGGGACGCTGAGTTATGCTGGCATGTGTGCTCAAAATGGGTTTTGTGGTATGGGAAAGTAGACGTATGGCGAAGTGCAAAGATCCAATGTTTAAGTTGTAAAAAGCAAAAATGTTCCCTAGCCAGGGCTTCATGTGTCTCCTGAAGGGTTTCCCAGGTCAGAAAAGAAACGAGACCCACGTAAACCCATGAGAAGTCCACCAGGTGAAGGCCTGGGGTTCCTTCAGGCCCGGAGGAAAAAGGGGATTGTAGGTGATGGGTAACAGTGGTAAAAAGTGGACATCAGGTTGCCTGAATATCGAACCGAGTCCCATACCCAACAGCTATGCTTCATGAAAGGGCTCAGGGATGGTGGGTGCAATTTTGGTGGAAGCCAGAGCAATGTGTGGTGTGTAATCGGGGCACAATTAGGCAGTTCAGGAAGTACCCAGAGGTGGACATCTGAAATTGCGTGGAGTATAGATAAAGGGGTGACTTGGGCCACAATGTAATATTTAGATGTGTTAGGAACCTCTAAGTTGTCCTGCAGCCAGTGAGCATAAAGAGTTGATCTAGGGACTCTGGGATGTTTCTGAGCCCAAATAAAAGAAAGCATCCTAGTTTGTAAGAGGCTGAGAAAGATGGATGGAACTTTTACTGGGGAATTGCCAAGAGTTCATATCAGGTGCTTTTTTTCAAACTTAAGCAGGCTTTCATGCGTTTTGCACTAAGAAGAGGCTTCGTCTAGCCACTCTGCCATAAAGCCCAGACCGGTGGAGGTCTGCAGTGATGATTGCTCTTCTGAAACTTTGTCTCATCTCCACCCAGGATCTCTGGAGCTCAGTCAGAGTGACCATCTGGTTCTTGGTCACCTCTAAGGCCCTTCTCCAATTGTTCAGTTTGGCCCGGCAACCAGCTCTTGGAAGAGTCCTGGTTGTGACAAACTTCTTTTATTTGAGAATTATGTTGGCCACTGTGTTCTTGGGAACCTTCAGGGTAGCAGCAATTGTTTGGTAGCCTTACCCAGAACTGTGCCTTGCAATAATTCTGTCTCTGAGCTCTGCAGGCAGTTCTTTGACCTTGTGGCTTTTGCTCTGATGCAGTATGCATTGACATCTGTGAGGCCTTTTATAGAGAAGTGTGTGGCTTTTCAAATCATGTCCAATCAGTTTACGTAATTTACCAAATGTGGACTCCAATCAAGGTGTAGAAACATCTCGGAAACTATCAAGAGAAATGGGAGGCACCTGAGATAAATTTCAAGTATTGTTGCAAAGGGTCTGAATACTTATGCCAATGTGATATTTTAATTTTTGTTTTCATAAGTTTGCAAACATTTCTAAAATTTTGTTTTCATTTTGTCATTATGGAGTACTGATTGTAGATTTAGAAAACAAATTAATGAAAACCACTGTAGTATAAGGCTGCAAGAAAATTGAAAAAAGTGAGGGGGGGTCTGAATAATTACTGAATGCACTGTATATAAAGCACTATACAACATGCCTGTGTACTGGAGGGTGCTGGCTACAGTGAAGGGATGAATGGGTGAATTTAGCACTGTAATAGTCCCTTAGACTGTAGGGGGAAAAAAAAAATCAGTCTTCATAAAGCAGTATTTGTTTTTTTTCTTGTAACCTCGTTTTCCTGTGCTTGTACCTTTTTCACAGACCATCCTGGACCACATGCACCTGAAATGCAAGTGCCATGGCCTGTCCGGCAGCTGTGAGGTAAAGACCTGTTGGTGGTCCCAGCCAGATTTTCGAGCCATCGGTGACCACTTGAAGGATAAGTACGACAGTGCCTCCGAGATGGCTGTGGAGAAACATCGTGAGGCACGTGGATGGGTGGAAACCCTGCGGGCCAAATACTCTTTGTTCAAACCTCCCACTGAACGGGACCTTGTGTACTATGAGACCTCCCCAAACTTCTGTGAACCCAACCCAGAGACTGGCTCATTTGGGACACGGGGGCGTTCCTGCAACGTGACCTCTCATGGGATAGATGGCTGTGATCTGCTGTGCTGTGGAAGAGGCCACAATACCCGGACTGAGAAACGCAAAGAGAAATGCCACTGCATCTTCCACTGGTGCTGCTACGTGAGCTGCCAGGAATGTGTTCGCATCTATGACGTGCACACCTGCAAGTGACATGGGTATGTCTGCAACTATATTGTGGTTGCTGTAAATTGTCCGATAGTCATTTAGTTGTCTTCCTACTGGGCCCAAGAGGTTGGGGTAAGCAGATCTATTTTCCTGCGGGCAAATTAATGGAGAACACCAGGCACAGTAAAATGGTAGTGTAACATTGTGTCCTTCCTGTCTTTGGTTGTGAGCTCCATTGCTATCATGTGAGGGTCAGCTCCCAATTGTGGTGAAAGGCAGGTTAGTGCTGGTTTAACCACTAGAGTTAAACCATTTCATTCTCCTGTGACTATCCTATGAGGCTGCAGGACCCCTGACCCTCTGTCTGGACAATGTTGACTGGCCCTGTGCCAATCACATGCTCCCCACAAGAAACCTCTCTGGCAATGCACACCAAACAGAGCATGTGCAGACATGCCACTGCTGCTGTGTACTGTGAAGAGAAGACAGGATCAAACAGCCTTTTTACACAATGCAGAAAACTAACCCCTTAGGTTCCAGTGAGTAGAACAAGCATGCTTTACTGCATATACAGACTGATTTTCCTGTCGTGGGTTTAGCAACACGTTACAACTCACTGATCTAGAGCAATGACACAAATCAGAGTTCTATCTTCTCTTCACTGCATGCTTGTTCCCTATTTGTAAATCTCAATGTATTCAACACAGTCGGGCAACTAGCAGTGGAAGAAGCGGTTGGCACTTGGATGCCCTTCCTGTCATGATACTTTTCTCCTGAAGGGAAACAAAGAACATTTATTATCACTGAAGACGCTGAAGGAGGCTACACACTGATCTGGTCTGCAGGTTGGATGTTGGTTACACAGCAGTAAGACTGGGTGGAGTAGACTTTGTTGTGATGATGGCAGAGTGGCTGCTTCCATCTGAGGCTTCTTGCACAGGTTTTCTTTATTATTCATTCATGTGGTCAGAAATACAGTCTGCACCAAAATACATCCAGAGTTATTCTGGTGAAGCCTGTTTATCTGATCGTTGTTGACCATTAACAAGTCTAGATCCACATCATTCCAGGTGTATTTACAACTACAGCAATGTTTATCTGGATTTTCTATTGTCTGCAGGCATGGATTATAGAGAACATAGAGGTGGCTCTGGACCGTTTCTATCACCCTGGAAGTACATATGAGAAAAGCATCCCTGATAACAGCTGGTTTTTCAGAACTCATTCTGGACACTGGAGTATATTCTGCATCTGAGGTGACCCACAAAAATGTCTCCATATTGTTTATGAACTCCTGTAGTGAAGCCGTAATCACTGGCTGGGATTGGTGAGAAAGAGAATATTTTTTTCCTCCATTATTAGTCACAGTGATGGTCCAAGTAATTCCGTGTCTAAGGTCATCTTTCATTTTGACAGGAAATGTAGAAATTTGCACAAGAGTGCTGCAGATTTGGGGGTTACCCTACTTGTTCAGGAAATGGGATCTCTTAACATGTTCTCATGCGGTTTGCCTATTACCATGGCAGTGAGGTAACCATACATCGTATAGTCCATCAATGTGCTCACAGCTACAAATGGATGGCTGTTGTCAGTATCCAGCACTGGACAAGAGCCTATTAATCCAGATGATTTATTGCTTGTGTACTGCACAGGGTCCCGTTATTAGAGCTGGTCTCCACCTTTAGGGGTTAGTTCACCTTTACTGACTTTTTCAACAAACTTCCCTATACTTTACAGTGTCCTCAGTGAGGCTCGGTTCACATTTATGCGGGTTGTGTTTCTGTATTGCATTTTTTTTTTTCCTTTTTCCGCCCGCCATATAAGGTACTGAAGTGCACAAGGCGGTTCTCTCGTTCTGGGAGGACGTCATATGACGACCTCCCATTCTAACCGTGCAGCACGGCGCTCGGTGTCCCTCGGACACAGAGGATCAATGGAAAGAGCCGAAGCTGTCGGCTCGGTCATGTGATCAGCTGTGTCCAATCACAGCTGATCACATGTAAATAGGGAAATGCCGGTTATCTGCATTTCTCTCCTCACGAGCTGTCACGCTGACAGCTCGAGAGGAGAGCCAGTAGTCGGCTTTACTCAGCGGGGACATGTACACTGATCATCAGGGTACTGATGATCTGTGTAGCCCCAGCAGTGCCACCTGTCAGTCTCCATCTGAGCTGCCTTTCAGTGTTACCTATCAGTGCCATATAGGAGTGCTGCCTTTCACTGCCCATCAGTGTTGCCTGTCAATGCCCATCACTGCAGCCTCATTCGCGCACATCAGTGAAACGCGGAGATGTGAACGTGTCCCATAGGAAATCATGTTAAATGGACTGCTGTGTGTTTCTGTAAACCGCTGCAGAAAACACTTAGGAGTGAACCTTAACATGCAGCTCTTTTTGTAAAAGAAGGATCATTTTTTTTTTTTTCCAGCTGCTTCCCCCACCTCTATTCTGCATATGGAGGATGGTGATGGGAGAGCAATGAAATAATCACTTTAACAAAAACGTAGAAGAGCATGTTCTTGTATTGAGGACAATGTAATTCATAGAAGTTTATATAATCAGTAACGATGGACTAACCCTTTAAATAGTTTGACTCCTACACATAATCGATTAAAAATGATTTTTTTTTTTTTTATATTATTCCTCCAATTGGCTGTTAGAGATTGTGACATCATCCTTCTGCCTCAGCTAATCAGAGGAAGCTTTTTTTTATTCATTCATAGAATACAAAGCTTCACATGAATGGCTGAGCAACATTTTGTTCTGGGAATGTGATGGGAAGTTCCTCTCCCACTGCTAGATTGCAGCACTGTATGTACCTGAGGATATGTACAATTCTTAGTAAATAGTTTGTTACAAACTATTTAAAAGGGACGTTAAATGTGGAGATCAGATTTGAGGCTCAGCCATCATTTAGTACTGATGCCTTTGGTGTAGCTTTTTCTGAACTTGCTACAAAATACACAGGCTGGATGTTTTGTTTTTTTCAGTCCAGGATTTCTTAACTCCACGTCTGTCTACAGATTAAGGTTTTTCCACGTGAACATGTTAAATACCAAATAGGAGCAGCTTGGCTCATACAGTAGGCATAGAGACCCCCTAAGTGAATAACATTTGGCTTGCTAAGAGCAGTGTGGATGAACCATTATTCATCCTTTTTTCACCATTTCAGTACTCTAGTAACTGTCTAGATGCCTAGATGCAGGAGGCCGCACATTTGCATGCGGCTGGCATGAATAGTACTGGAATAAATGGAAAAAAAGAAGTATAATCTATTTTATCTCTCACTTTCATAACCTAACTTTAACTGCCCTGCATTGGTAATAGTTAAACAGCATAAAAACATACAAGAGCAGAGAGTAGACATTGAAGGGGACCCGTCTTTTTCCAAAAGTGAATGATTTGGTGGGGCTGTGCTTGTCATGGCTGACACAAGCATAACGTGCCCTTTAGCAGAAGGAAGGAGAAGTGGAAGGGGTACTTTACTATGCCAGTCTCACAGGACAATTGTCTTCCTGATGCAAAGAGGTGGATCGTTTTATTCATTCCAGTTAGTCCAGGGTGGTTGGGAAAGAGCCAAGAAACATTTTTATATAAAACCACAATTACCCTTTTAAGCCCAACTTCAGCCCCAAAGTTCTGGATAGAGATACAATTTAGTGCCAGTCTAGCCTTAAAGTAGAACTAAAGACAAAACGTTTTTCCATTTTGGATAAAATAGAAGAGGGTCATAACCTTTTGTCAGTTTTTTTTTGGTTGCCATCTGTGTGTCCCATTGGGGTGGTTTACCTTCATTTCCTTACCCATAGCCAAAGCAGGAATTGAGAGGAAATCCCTCCAAAGTGAAGGAATACCTGACTGTCAACAGAATTAGTGTCACCATTCAAAGAGTTCCCCTCTTACTGCTCTGGTGACAACCTACATAATGCGATTTTCTTTCACCCTCGTGGATAACAGAGGGAGTAACTCTGCCTAGTGGGGGCACAGACCTGCAATAAAACCCCAACAGGTGTTCTGATCCCTCTAAACACCAAAACTAAGACATGGCTTTTAGTTGTACTTTAAACACGGACCTGACTGCATCTATAGACAATCTGACACACTTCTCCCAGTCTGTTTATTGGTTCACTAAGCTGGTTGTCATTTACACTGAGACCCCAATCATCACATTTTGTGGCTGCAGTCAGATTTATATCAGATCCAAAATTCATCCAGCTAAGATGAGAAAAGGGGGAGAGTTAATGGCATAAAAGCTCTGAGCACAGCACAATTCTGTACTGCAATGCAGCAAAACATGACACTGTATAGAAGACTCAAATGTCACATAGCCGGATAGACCATGCGAGACATAGCAAGGGCCACGTTTTATATACAGAATCATTTTATATTTGTTATTTATTATACATTGTGTATATATCCTATATGAGTTAACTGAAATTATATATATAATATATTATAAATATATATTTGGAAGAAAAAAAAAAAGTGTGTGTATTTTATTTAGATGGTGCAGTAAATGTTTATTTACATGATATTATGTTTTGACTTTGCTACAAAGTAGTAGAATAGAGTCTTCCTACTCTCCTTTGTGGAAGTGAATGACTTGCTGTATGGTTTCATGGATCTATGTATGGTCCTTACCCCCCTATCATGGATCCTTTTGACCAGAGGAGCATGTAATACTCTCCCCCCCCCAAACACAGAGTTGGGAATTCCCTGTTGCAGAGTACTTCATGTTCTCTTTTAGGGTTCACAATCCGGGCATACAGTGGATCCTTGGGGCTGAATTCATAGGTGTATGAATAACTGTGGTCAGGAAACCTGTACAAATGAATGAGCTGCCAGCAGCCAACCGGATGTAATTATGGATGGAGCGATTAGCTGCGGTCAGGGACAGATGATTGGTCCTGCACACAGACTGTTTGCATCCAGGGCCGCTCATCTGTCCCTGACTGCAGATAATTGCTCTAGGCAGCTGCTGTCAGCTCATCATTCATTTGTACAGGTTTCCTGGCTGCAGCTTTCCACATTCCCATTCTGCCACAG